CTCTATTTTATAACATACTTTTGTAATGTTCAACCAATTATAAACGATGAAAGAACAAAAATGCAACAACTCGCAAGAAGAATTTAGCCTTCGAGTAGGTATAAAAGAGGTATTCATGGTCAAAATAAGCATCGATATTCTCTGCTTGATCGTCAAGCAGTTCAGTTCGGTGTTAGCTCGCTCTCTCGAGTTGTTTGAAAAGTTCATTGCGATAGTGTTCGCGTTCTCTCTTTCGCGGTTTGTCGTGCGTGTGTGTGTGCCCCGTAATGGGGAAGCATCGGTCGCGAAGCCCGGCGAAGGTCCAGAACCCCGGAGAAGGAAGCTCCGGTGTGCCTACCTCGAACAGGTTTGCTGTTCTCCCCATGGATGGGAATATCCAGCCAGCTGTGTTGGAAAAACGCAGTAAGAAGAGGAAGAAGAATCGAGGCCAGTCCGATGTCACTGCGACGAACAACAGCGATGTTGGAGATTTCGGTGACGCTGCCGAAACCGTGAATACTGCCGAAATGAGCACGGCAAAAGTGAAGCTACCTCCATTGGTAGTGAAAAATGCCCATCTTAATGTGCTCATTGCGGATCTAGCGACGCTGGGTGTTAAAGCCGAATACAAGTTGGGCAGAGTCGGCACTAAAGTGATGCTCCGTACCAAAACGGAGTTTGACGTGGTCGTCGCCCACCTGAGGACTTCCAAGGTGGAATTCTTTACCCACGACATTCCCGGTGAGAAGCCGTTCAAGGTCGTCATCAGGGGCCTACCAAACTTCGACCCGAAGTTTATCGAATCAGAAATCAGGGACCGGTACAAGCTGGCCCCAAGTGCCGTGTATCGAATGACAAGAAGAGACGAGAATGTGAAGGCGTATCCGGATAGCCTTTTCCTGGTACACTTCCAGAAGGGAACGGCGACGCTCAACGCACTGAAAGCCATCCGGTCCATCAATTCCATCATCGTTCGCTGGGAGCCATACCGTGGCGGCCATCGCGATGTGACTCAGTGCCAGCGGTGTCTGAACTTCGGACACGGTACCCGCAACTGCAACATTAAGCCACGCTGCGGAAATTGCGCTCAAGACCATGCCACCTCCGAATGTGCTGCGGATGAAGCTGTGGCGTCCAAATGCGCCAACTGTGGTGGTGCTCACCAAGGTTCCGACAGACAGTGCTCCAAACGCGAGGACTTCAAACGGATCCGAAACCAGGCGGCAGCTAACAGCCAACCAGGACGCAAGAAGGACAAAGTCCCGGCATTTCGGACGGAGGATTTCCCGCCTCTTCGTGCTCCCCAGCAAAGGCAAGCGAATTCGCGGGTGCATTCCGTTCAAGCAACTTCTGGTGATTCTGCTGGCCAAAGCTCTCCATCCCCCCCTGGATTCTGGAGACAACCACCAGCGCAAAACAACAACCCCGATCTGTTTTCAGCGGATGAACTGATGGAAATTTTCGTCAACATGACCGGTGCTCTACGTAAGTGCCGCAATAAGCCCGAACAGATCCAAGTGCTCGGTAAGTTCATCATCCAGTATGGTGTCTAAACCGCTAACCATCGCTACCTGGAACGCTTGCTCTGTAAGAGCAAAACATATTGAGCTTGCCGACTTTCTCCGCAAGCATAGCATCGACGTGGTTCTTCTAACTGAGACCCACCTAAAGTCCGGTGACAGCTTCTGGTTGCCTGACCACAACATTATCCGGCTTGATCGCACCAGCTCCAGGGGGGGTGGTGTAGCGGTCATCGTCAGAAAGGGAATCAAGTTTTGCACTCTGCCCCACATCCGCACTTCTATCATCGAGGCCATTAGTGTGGAGGTGGAATCACCAACTGGAAACGTCCGGTTCATCGCTGTTTACTGCCCACGCCAGTGTACCGCAAGCAACGGATTAGGAATCCAATTCAAGAAGGACCTGACCGCCATCACCCGTACTAGCTCCCGATTCATCGTTGGGGGCGACCTGAACGCCCGCCATGAAGCTTGGCGGAACTACCAGAGGAACCGGAACGGATGTCTATTGTTCGACCACGCACAACATGGATTGTACACTGTGCAATTTTCGGACGAACCAACTTTCATCTCTCCGGCGGGAAATCCCTCCACGCTGGACTTTTTCCTGTCAAACATCGGACTATCCAAGCCGGAGGCGCACAACGATCTCAGCTCCGACCACCAACCGGTGGTGACTGAAGTCGGTGTCAACGTGGTTCCTGCTAGAAGCTGCCTGCGTAAAGACTACCACCATGTCAACTGGGTGCAGTACGGACGAATGGTGGACAGCAACATCGATGAAAATCCACTGCTCAACACCGTAGATGACATCGACCGGACGTTGGAAGGGCTCCAACAGGCCATATCCATGGCTGACGAGGCATACGTTCGACAAGTTCCTGTGAGGGGTAAGTTTGTTGCTATTGATTCCCACACCCAATTACTGATTCGGTTGAGAAATGTTCGTAGACGCCAGTTTCAGAGGACTGGAGACCTGGGTAAAAAACGTGAAATGGCCGATCTGAATAGGCAGATTGCTTCCAGAATGGACTCACTCCGAAATGAAAGTTTCGGGCGTGTTGTCCAGAATCTGGATGACCGCTCCAGACCATTCTGGAAGGTAGCCAAGGTCCTGAAAAATCATCCCAAACCCGTTCCACCTCTCAAAGTCGAAAATGATGACGATCGGCTTTTAATCACCCCACAGGAGAAAGCAAATGCGATCGGCGAGCATGTAGCTTCATCGCATTTGCTTGGCTCGACTATCCAAAGTCCGCTCGATGATCAGGTTGCGCAATGCGTTCAAAACCTAGATACCTCCCCTTGTGTCGTGCCTCCGGCGGATATGATTACAGTACAACAGATTTGCTCAGCGCTGAAATGCACCAAGAACATGAAGGCTCCCGGGTTTGACGGTATATTCAACTTGATCTTGAAGAGACTCAGCATGAAAGTGCAGTCTCTTCTAACCGCTATCTTCAACAGATGTTTGGAACTGCACTACTTTCCAAGCATCTGGAAAGTAGCAAAAATCATACCAATCCGCAAACCCGGTAAGGATCCAACATTGTCTTCAAGCTACAGACCAATCAGCCTCCTTTCAGCGCTGAGCAAATTGTTCGAAAAACTCATTCTCAATCGTTTGCTCAAGTTTGTCGAGGAAAATAACATTCTCCTTCCGGAACAGTTTGGGTTCAGAAAGGGGCACTCCACCAATCACCAGCTAGTACGGGTGATGAATAACATCCGAAGTAACAAAGCTGTATCCAAGTCCACAGCCATGGCCTTGTTAGACGTTGAAAAGGCGTTTGACAATGTTTGGCATGATGGACTTGTGTACAAGCTTTGTAACTTCAACTTTCCTTTACATCTTATTAAAATCACCCGTAACTACCTCCAGCAAAGGTCGTTTAAGGTATCGTTGAATTGTTGTCTTTCAAACACGTTTTCCATCCCAGCAGGAGTACCGCAAGGCAGTCTGCTGGGCCCCTTGCTTTACAGCATTTACACTTCCGACATTCCTCCCCTTGGAGACGGTTGCGTGTTTTTCCTGTTCGCAGATGATACCGCAATCGCCGTCAAAGGAAGGATGCCTCGCGAAATAACGAACAAACTTCAACGATGCCTTAACGCCTTTGCTGATTATGCCACCACGTGGAAAATCAAAATCAATGCTTCCAAAACACAAACAATCATGTTCCTCCATCGGCAATCGCCCAAACTAAAACCGGCTCCATCTTGTACTGTAATCATGGATGGCACAAGGGTTGAGTGGTCCGCCGAAGTAACCTATCTCGGGATGTTGTTCGATGAAAAGCTCCTCTTCCGTTCGCATGTGGAGAAAACCGTAATCAAGTGTTCTGCCTTGGTTAGGTGTCTGTATCCGCTGATTTGCCGCAGATCCCGCCTCTCAAGGGTGAACAAACTGGCCGTCTACAAACAAATCATAGCACCTGCGATCCTCTACGCAGCTCCGGTGTGGGAATCATGTGCACAGACTCACAGGAACAAAATTCAGGTCGCACAGAATAGAGTGCTGAGGATGGTTCTTGATCGTCCTGTCGACACTAGAATAACAAATTTACACGAAGAGGCAGGAATTGCCAAAATAGATTCAAGAATTAACGAAATTAAGACTAAATTTGCAGAAAAATGTAATTTATCAGAACATGCTTTGATAAGCAATTTGTATATAGTAGGTTAGGTGTATATAGTAGTTGTAGGTTAGTTGTAGTTGTAAATAGTAGTTATAAGTAGTCTCCTTTTTTCCAATTCAAATCAAACCAATCCCACCAAGGTGGTCATACTTTAAAATAGGCCTGATAGGACTAGTAACTGTAAATAATAATTAAAATCCCAAATGAACTAAAGTTGAAAAGACGCATCTGTGTCACTTGAAAAATTCATCAATGTAAACCACACAAACACAAGAAATAAAGATCATTTTAAGTCAAAAAAGTAAGTCAAAATAAGCATCAGCTCATTCTCTGCTTGAACGTCCAGCAATACAGTTCGGTCTTTGCTCGCTCTGTCGAGTTGTTCGATAAACCTATAGTTTGTTACAAACGTTCGCAGATATACCGATATACTGCATCGTCAGTAGTGTCTGTCGCATCGCGTGATGGGAAGACAGCGCTCCCGGAACAGACTTCGTGACCAAGCGGAGAAGAAGAACAGTGATGAGGGTAGCTCGGTACCTACCTAAAATAGGTACGCTACTCTTCCCACCGATGTTGGGAATACCAGCCCAGCCCGGTGAAGCGGACGAAAAAGAGGAAGAAGAATCAAGGACAGTCCGATGGTACGAGCGGACGTGACGATGTTACCGCGACGAACGCCAGCTACATCGGTGATTTCGGCGACGCCGTCGGAACCGAGAATTCTGCCGGCCCGAGTGCGGCGAAAGTCAAGCTTCCTCAACTGGTGGTGAAGCAAGTACCACTCAATACGCTGATTGGCGATCTCTCGTCGCTGGGCGTTGCAGCTGAGTTTAAGCTCGGCAGGTTCTGCACCAAGGTGATGCTCCGTACGAAAGCGGAGTACGAGGTGGCCTTTAAATATCTGAAAGATTCCAATGTGGAATACTTCACTCATGGCATCCCCGGTGAGAAGCCCTTCAAGGTAGTCATCAGGGATCTACCAAACTTCGACCCCAAGATGATCGAGGCTGAAATCAAGAGGTACAAGCTGGCCCCAATAGCTGTTTTTCGGATGACGAGGAGAGACTGGTGCACTTCCAGAAGGGAACGGTGACGCTGAATGCGCTGCAGGCTATCCGCTCAATCTACTCCATAATCATACGATGGGAGCCATACCGTGGCGGCTATCGTGACGTAACGCAGTGCCAGCAGTGCCTTAATTTTGGACACTGTACCCGCAACTGCAACATCAAGCCACGCTGCAACAACTGCGCTCAAGAACACGCCACTTCCAACTGCCCTGCGTATGAAGCCGTAGTGTTAAAATGCGCCAACTGTGGTGGTGCTCATCACGGTTTCGTCAGACAGTGCTCCAAACGCATCCGAAAACAGGCGGCAACTAACAACCAACCAGGACGCAAGAAGGACAAAGTCCCGGCATTTCGGACGGAGGATTTCCCGCCTCTTCGTGCTCCTCAGCAAAGGCAAGCTAATTCGCATGTGCATCCCACTCAAGCAACTTCCGGTGATTCTGTTGGCCAAAGTTCTCCATCCCCCCCCCCCCCCTGGATTCTGGAGACAACCAACAGCGCAAAACAAACAACCACGATCTGTTCTCAGTGGATGAACTGATGGAAATCTTCGTCAACATGTCCGGTGCTCTTCGTAAGTGCCGCAATAAGCCCGAACAGATCCAAGTGCTCGGTCATCCAGTATGGCGTCTAAGCCGCTAACTATCGTCACCTGGAATGCTTGCTCTGTAAGAGCAAAAGAGATTCAGCTTGCTGACTTTCTCCGCAAGCACAGCATCGACGTGGGCCTTCTAATCGAGACCCATCTAAAGTCCGGCGACAGCTTCTGGTTGCCTGACCACAACATTATTCTGCTTGATCTTACTAGCTCCAGGGGGATGATGTTGCGGTCGTCGTCAAGAAAGGAATAAAATACCACCCTCTGTCCCATATCCGGAATTGGCAGGGCTTTACTCTGCATTTGAACTTATTTATTACCAAGGCGTATCAATACTAACCCTAATAAATAAATACGATAACCGAATTTTGATTGAACACAAAATGATAGAAATGTTCCAGATATTTGGTTGTTGTGTGGTTGAAGTCGCTGGAGGAGGAATTGTTTAGAGATGACTATAGAAAAACATGCGTGGGAGCATCGGGAATGCGCTCCAGGGTGAAGTGATTTGGTGAGTACGTTCCAGTTGAAGATTGTTGACAAGTGTATTTGTAGTAATGCAAATTATGGTTTATATGACGCATGGCTTCAAACATTTTCTGAATCCAAATAAAACATATTACATACTAAATACGCACAGGGCATTGTCTGCTGACCATTGCCGCGGGTATATCGTGGGAGTCCCAGGTACCCGGTTTAAGCTTTAGTTGGCGGCGGTGGCTCTTCTTGACCTTCTACCCCCTGAGTAGTTAGTGTGAATAAGGGCGTCTATGTGAGGTTTTGCTGTACCTGTTGTGGACATCTAGTGCATCCTGTTCCCTTAACTTGTTGAGAACACCCTGTCTTGCCTCAAAAGTTACCCTTTTTGAAGTACTAGTCTTCACAACATACAGGGCACCATTACGGAGCATGAGATTTGATCAAATTATTCGCAGTTCTACTTGTCCAACGCCCCCGGCTGGGTGAGGGATAGAGGATGACACACACACACTCTGTCCCATATCCGCACCTCTATCATCGAGGCCCTTGGTGTGGAGGTGAAGTCGTTGACTGAATACGTCCAGTTAATCGCCGTCTACTGCCCTCGAAAGTGTGCCGCCAGCAGTGGACTAGAGGCTAAATTCAAGAAAGACCTGTCCACCATCACCCGTAACGGTTCCCGCTTCGTAGTAGGAGGAGATCTAAACACTCGCCATGAGGCCTGGCGGAACTACAGGCAGAACCAGAACGGTCCTCTGCTGTTCGACCACTCACAGCATGGTTTTCGGATGAGCCAGCATTTATCTCACCGGCGGGCAACCCATCGACGCTAGACCTATTCCCTGCAAATATCGGCTTGTCCAAGCCGGTAGCCTTGAACGAACTCAGCTCCAACCACCAACCGGTTGTTGCTGAACTGGGCTGCAACTACCATCGCGTAAACTGGGCCCAGTTTGGACGCGTGGTAGACAGGCACATCATCGACAACCCACCGCTTGACTCCGTGGAGGACATCGACCGAGCGTTGGAGGGACTCCACCAAGCCATAACCGTGGCTGACGAGGCATGCGTCCGACGAGTTCCTGTGAGGGGTAAGTTTATTGCCATTGATTCCCACACCCAACTCTTAATTCGCCAGAGAAATGTTCGTAGACGCCAGTTTCAGAGGACTGGAGATCTAGCGAGGAAACGTGAAATGGCCAATCTGAACAAGGAGATTGCTTCCAGAATGGTCTCACTCCGGAACGAAAGTTTCGCGCGGCTTGTCCAGAATCTGGACGACCGCTCCAAACCATTCTGGAAAGTTGCCAAGGTCTTAAAGACGCACCCTAAACCCATTCCACCACTCAAAGATGAAAATGATGACGATCGGCTCATAATCACCCCTCAGGAAAAAGTATTGGTGAGCATATTGCCAAATCGCACTTGCTTGGCTTCAACATCTAAAGTCCGCTCGAAGTTCAGGTTGAGCAATGCGTACTCAACCTTGTCCTCCCCTTGTGCCATCCCTCCGGAGGATAGAATCACAGTGGAACAGATTTGCTCAACGCTGAAATGCACCAAAAAGGGCCCCCGGGTTTGATGGAATATTCAACCTAGTATTGAAAAATCTCAGCATGAAGGTTCACTCTCTGCTGGCTGCTGTCTTCAACAGATGTTTGGAACTGCACTACTTTCCAAGTATCTGGAAGACAGCGAAAATCATACCTATCCGCAAACCCGGGAAGGACCCAACGCTAGCTTCAAGCTACAGACCAATCAGCCTCCTTTCAGCGCTGAGCAAATTGTTCGAGAAACTCATTCTCAATCGTTTGCTCAAGTTTGTTGAGGAGCAAAACTTTCTCCTACCGGAACAGTTCGGGTTCAGGAAGGGGCACTCCACAAATCATCAGCTAGTACGGGTGATGAATAACATCCGAAGTAACAAAGCTGTATCCAAGTCCACAGCCATGGCCTTTTTTTTTTCTTTGGTTTGTTTTTTCCGTCAATCTTGTTTTCCGTGCTGAGCACCAATGCTACCGACGTGCCAGGAAGGCAGCTCCCACACCTGGCCCCTACCTATCGACCCATCAACTCATGAACCGGGGACCAACGGCTTTACTTCCCATCCGAAGGAAGGCGTGATCAGAGATGTTATGCCTCAGAACATCCCGGCGGTGCCGACTGGGATTGAACACAGGCCTGCTGGGGTGAGAGGTAATCACGCTTACCACTACACCACCGGCGCCGTTAGCCATGGCCTTGTTAGACGTTGAGAAAGCGTTTGATAATGTCTGGCACAATGGGCTTGTATACAAGCTTTGTAACTTCAACTTTCCATTACATCTGGTTAAAATCACCCGTAGCTACCTCCAGCAAAGGTCGTTTAAGGTATCGTTGAATGGTTGTCTTTCCGACACGTTTTCCATCCCAGCAGGAGTCCCGCAAGGCAGTCTGCTGGGCCCCTTGCTTTACAGCATTTACACTTCCGACATTCCTCCCCTTGGAGACGGTTGCGTGTTTTTCCTGTTCGCAGATGATACCGCAATAGCCGTCAAAGAAAGGATGCCTCGCGAAATAACGAACAAACTTCAACGATGCCTTAACGCCTTTGCTGATTATGCCACCACGTGGAAAATCAAAATCAATGCCTCCAAAACACAAGCAATCATGTTCCTACATCGGCAATCACCCAAATTAAAACCGGCTCCATCTTGTACTGTAATCATGGATGGCACAAGAAGGGTTGAGTGGTCCGCCGAAGTTACCTATCTCGGGATGTTGTTTGACGCAAAGCTCCTATTCCGCTCGCATGTGGAGAAAACCGTTATCAAGTGTTCCGCCTTGGTTATGTGTCTGTATCCGCTGATTTGCCGTAGATCCCGCCTCTCAAGGGTGAACAAACTGGCCGTCTACAAACAAATAATAGCACCTAAGATCCTCTACGCAGCTCCGGTGTGGGAATCTTGTGCACAGACTCACAGGAACAAAATCCAGATCGCTCAGAATAGAGTGCTGAGGATGGTACTTGATCGTCCTTTTGACAGTAGAATAACAAATTTACACGAAGAGGCAGACATTGCCAAAATAGATTCCAGAATTAACGAAATTAAGACTAAATTTGCACAAAAATGTAATTTATCAGAACATGTTTTGATAAGCAATTTGTATACAGTAGATAAGGCTTATATAGTAGTTGTAGGTTAGTTATAGTTGTAAATAGTAGTTATAAGTAGTCTCCTTTTCAAAATTTAAAACAAACCAATCCCACCAAGGTGGTCCTTCTTAAAACAGGCCTGATAGGACTAGGAACTGTAATTAATAATAATTGAAATTTCAAAGGAACTAAAGTTGAAAAGACGCGTCTGTGTCACTTGATAAGTTATAGGGGAAATGGCTCTAATGTTGGCCTATGGATCTAAGATTGGGCCCATCGCTAAAAATCTGCTATTTATCAATTTTATCTAGATGAACGCGTCATTGGGACGGTATTATTGGATATTTTTGGTCGCTATTGAAAATTTAGTCGATTGCTGAATTTATGTATGGGCCCAAATTAGGAGCATTTAAGCCGACATTACATCCATTTCCTCTACATGTAAACCACACAAAATCAAGAAACATAGATCATTCAAAGTCAAAAAAAAAGTCGCCTGCGCATTAGTAGGGATGAAAATCCCTCAAAAATAAATAAACAACAAACAGCCTTCGCATTAGTAGCGATTCACCCGTTCAACGGTAAACAACCAGGAGGCATGACTGGTCGTGGCAAGGGTGGCCAAGTGTCAACCCTATTAAATACATTTTAACATCAAATTATTTCAAAATTCAGAAAATCATTTTTTTTAATAGCAAGTGAGTGGAAGTAAGCCTGGTTCTGTTGCATCTGTTTGTTACTCCATCAGCCGTTCCTTGAAGTCATCCATGTTCATCTTCAGTTCCATGTTATCCCACTGCAACACGTCGATCTGATTCCGTTTCGCGGCTTTTAGGCCAGCTACAGCTTCCACATTGTAGATAGCTTCTATTATTTGTTCTTTACCTTGTAATTCTTCTTTTGTCACTGATTTCCTCTTTTGGCATAAACTTTGCCAATATCTTTTTTCTCTTTCAAAATGTTCTCCTCACTGTTTTACTATTTCTTCATAGATATCCCGCTTTTCTGCCATTGTTCATGTTCACTAATTTTCTGTGCGTACTCTATTATTCTCCTATACCGGCAGAGTAGCGAGTCACCATCACTTTGAACAACATGTAGCCTGCTGCTTACTTGATACTTGATGGGCTACGAATCGCCAGGTTGATTCAACGCCGAACGAAGTACTCTTCTCCATTGGACTCGGTCCTGAGCC